TACATCCCCGAATTACCCGCATGGCTTCATTCCGTGTGCCTTCAAGTTTCATCAGCTGACTCTTTGATGTGGTAAACATTCCAAGTCTATAATCTGTCACCAACAGGATCACATGCCGGAACATTGTGAACACCATTCTTTGTTCCATGTCCATTGCTGCCATAATCTTGAGAGCATTGAGTCATTTTAGGCATTTCACCGCAACTGTCTCCACATGATCCCGAAGGACAGGCTTTTATCTGAAGGTACTACCTGTCTTCGGTTAACGCCGAATGTTGGGTCGCGTATGTCAAACATAACATCTCATATTGTGCCAACGGCTTTGGACGGAGGAGCTCATTGGGGAGGATACTAGCCTTATCCTAGGAAAAGGAATGCAACCTCAAATCCGTATCTTGTGGCAGTGCAGACTAGGCCCTCATACTTGGCTGGCAGCTGGTTTAGGAGGAAAACTCCGACAGCTGATAGAGTATTGCTTTTCTTATTCGGCAGTTTCTGCAGTCTGCTTTGGTCCAAACGAACGGGTATTGCTTTTCCTTTGGAGTAAACAAGGCAGGCAGAAAGAAGGATCACGATGCATGGGCAAGGTATGATCTCTACATAACATTACTGCCCAGGCTTTCTGCTATGGAGAGAAACTATTTGTGCAAGCGAAGCATGAATGATACACGTTTTGAGGTGGACTCGTGGGAGCAAAATGCCATGGAGCGTGTTGTGTGGAGGGAGCATATCAGGAAAGAAAAGAGAAGGAATGAAGAAATGATTACAGGAAGAAAAAGAGCCGAGCGTCTAAGAAGAAACAGACCAAATACAAATGTTGACAACAACGGTCCTGAAATCCGATGCTATAATTGTGGAAGACCTTTCTTAACCCAGACGGGTCCTGCTAGTCACACTGCCCATCACCGTGGGCTGTGAGTTCCCTGGCCCCTCATAGCGCAGTTCAATGCACATCAATCATTGGTACACCTCTCCTTCATTCCAAGCTGTATCTGGTCTTATCAGCTTCTATATCGGATTTTCTGATGTGACCGATATTCTTACGTCAGATTTGTCTCATGACATGTACAACATTTGTTATATATGTTTGCATGTCAATAAACGCATTGCTCTTAATTAGGGCTGTGCCGAATAGTGATTTTCACTTTTCGGCCGAACACGAATAGCGGGACCAACTATTCGGCCGAATACGAATACAAATTGTGTATCATCAGGTGCCTTGCCGACCGGCGTTGGCGAATATGCCTCGCCACAATCTGTGACCTACCGCAGCATGTATTAGTTCGTGTCTTGACACACCTCCATGCCATGCAACAAGACTGTCAAGAATCTTCTCTCGTTGTCTTCCTCTATCACTCCTTCCACAGATCTTTCCAGTGGTCACCACATGTTCCATTTTCCATCTTCTAATAACATGGCTGAAAAATCATGACTGTCTCCTGATGTCTGTGATTAGTTGTCTTCGGGCTCCCACCTCTCTCAAAACCATCATGCGCTCGGCTGTTCGTTCTATGTAATTTAAACGCACCTTCATATTCTCATTAGCAATATCTTCAAATTTGATTTGGGCAAAGACACCCTGAAAGAACGAAAAAATGCATGATTCCTCTCTCTCTCTCGCGCGCCCACACACACACACACGCAACAAAAAAGAACGCTTTGCCTTTAAATATAAGTGCTTACTTGACGAGGCTAACAGTAACCTTTGTACAGACCTCATTTTCCACTTTAAAATTTGAGCCAAAATGCAATCACAACCTTATTTATCTGCTGACCCTCACAAATACAGATAAAGGATCGATCGCACCTCGAGATAAATACAAAGACAATGTTTAGCAAGCCGCGGTTGGCATTTTATGCAGCACGTTGAGTGTGAAACAAGGAAAAACAATCTTTTTTTGACAGAAGCGAGGTAAAAACAATTTGAATTTCAACTTTTAAGTATCTTAACACCTTTTTTAATAATGTCACAATTTATAGCTGCCTTTTCTTGATTTTTGCCACGGCACCCCTGGCTTACGCACCCAGTTTGAGAACCTTTGCTGAAATGCCTCGGTCAAGTCAGCAGGCAAATACCTTGCTAGCTGCTGTATCACGCAACCGGGTCGCAGTTTCCCCCGCTACAACAGACTTAGGCAACAGCAACTATTGTGTTAATGAGTTATTTCAGTGCATCGCAGTGAATGCAGAAACGGGTGTAAGGTAACAACTATTCGTATTCGGCCCGACCGCGGGTATTCCTAATTATTTTGTAAAAATGTCAAGCGGACAACTTTGTCCATAAACAAAAAATGAACTTATCATCACTGCCCCTAGCCCAAGGTAAATTGCTGTACCAAGAGAAATATGTGTTGGAAACTGGGTGGAGAAAACACAAGGGGGACAATCTTGACGATGATCATGTTCTGTTAAGTAAAAACAACAACAGCGCGCAAAGAAAGACAGATTATTAGGCAAATATGGCATCAAACGTTGGCATCAAACGTTGGCATCAAACACGCATCAACACACTATTCAACAACTTAAATCATCATTGCATTTTAATAGCAAGAAGCAGTACATATTAAATACATAGCTACAAATTTATATAGTGATGTACAGAACTTAAAACATGAAGCATGTGAATATGTTTATAAATATATATATATCTATATATATATACTTTAAAAGCAATTATAAACTTCAAATAACATCTTTTTTGGCACATGGAAGATTCCTGTGTCTACCAAGATTAATTTAATAAAAGTGCTTTGGCCAACATTATGCTGCCAGTGTCAAACATGGACATTCTCTATAACTAATTATTATGCAATCATAAGAATTCAGATGCAGTGTCTCAGTAGGTTTGATATTGAAGTAAATATAAAGACTTGGACTGAAACCAGTTATACAAATATACTCTTTGAGTCCCAAGGAACGGAACGCATCATACGTTCATAGGTTCCTACCTAAAAGCCCAATAAACACATGATGCGCCAATTTTATTATTTTCGTCACTACTCCCCCTCGGCCGGTGATGCTAAACCCCCTGGGACTCAAAGAGTTAAAGAACACAGATGAAATGGCTTGACGAGAATGTCCTGGTACCAACTGCCACAGAAAAACAAGCACACCATTGCAGATGGAGGACTGTGTGGATGTGAGAATCGACATCATAACACATAGGGCACATGTCCGCCCTTGCCTGATCCACGCGTAATTCCTCATTCAAAACTTCTGACACATGTTATTTCCTCTAGCTTCATGTCTGCTATCAGCATTCATTCATTATTGGTTTCTATAATATCTCCCTTCTCCAGTACAAGTGTTCCTGTCGCTATTGCTTTGTAGCCAGAACATCCAATCTTTCATTTCTGTGCACTCCTGCATATTCTGGACAGTAAATCCACGTAGTTCCCTGTGATATTAACGTCCTGATGCTTGACATCCAGTCATGCCACATTTGTCAGTTGTGAACTTTCAGCAGTACCGACTGAAAATCATTCACTATAATTCACCGGGTTGTTCTTTTTTTCTGCTATCAACATCAGAGCTTCAGTTGTAGCCTCCACCTCCATTCTCATGCTTGAAGACAAAGATAAAATAGCACCATTTTGTTATGTCACAATCTTTCTCTTTACTCTGGCTGAAAATTCTCAGCCAGATCTTACACCCCGATGAACATACCCATTGGTGTACTCTATTACTTCATCTGAGTCAGCGTTTTCATCTATCAGTTGTTGTACCGCTAAGTCTGCCATTCTCTAAATTCCTAATGTGATTATGATCTGAGTGAAACTGCTATTGTGTGTGTTCCCATCAAGCTATTCAAGCCCCCTGTATGCTCGACTGAGGCCATTAGCCAGATGGTTACTTCGGCTCAGCCATCCGCGACGTTCCTCCTTTCAACTGGTCTTCTCTCAAATCTTTCAGATTTCCATGCAGGCGATGTCTTTCATCACTGATAACATGAATACAGACCTTGGCCTGTGCCAGTGACTGTCCAGACTTTAACAATGTCAGCCCAAGCATATACCTCGTTGTTGGGGTTAGGATCTTTGTCAGCCCCGACCGCCTCAGAGAGGCCTATGAATCCTAACCTTAACATTAACCTTTACTCTAACCCTAACATCAACCCTAACTCTGACCAATACCCCAACCCCTAACCTCCGGAAGTATGTGGCAACACACCCCCTCCAACTCATTTTTTTCCACGACCCAACATAACAAAATGTGATTAAAAAGAGGAAGACGACAGATTTCGCGACAAGGAAAACAGACAGAATTGAAATACGTTTTGGTCAGATTTTGTCCTTAATCTGTAATTAAATGCTTGTGTTATCATATTAATTAAATGTTTAACTGTAAATGTACAAAATGCTTATGACAACTTAACAACATTCATTGGCTTGTAAAAACATTTTTTTTTTAATAATTAAACTTAATCAATAATCTAACAGGTAATTATAAATACAAATGCAATAAATTTAAAAATTGCTTTACGCCCTCATTGAAACCTCCTGGCGAGCCCTAAACCTCTGGAATGCCCCCCCCCCCCCCCCAAATTGAAACTTCTCCTTGGTCGCCTTGAAACCTCCTCTCCCCCCTATTGAAACCTTCCAGCACCCCCCCCCTCCCCCGGCTTTCCCCGGTGAACCTCTTCTCGCATCACCTTGAAACCTCTTCACAGCCCCTACCTCCCCCTCAAACATCATGACCCCCCCTCCCCCCCAAACCCTCCTCATGTCAGCTCCCTCTTAAAAATTCCTAACCTCCCCCCCCCCTCCCCCCCCCCCTTTTCTTCCTTGAAACGTCCTCACACCCCTTAGGAGGTGAGCTTCCCAGGTAAGAGACCATCCCTTTTAGACCAACTAGTGAGTGTATAGGACTTAATGGTATAGCAAGCTAACAGTATACGTATACATGCACAGTAAGTATATGAATCAAATTATATTATTACACAGGTGTTTAAAGCATATCCAGCAATATCCCAAAAGCATAGTTGCTCAATCCAAAGAGAATCAGATGTCCCGAACGAAGATTGGGCATGACGTGTTGATGTCTTCCAGTTGCTTGGAGTTGAAGATGATGATTATCTCCCCCTGACCTGTTTTCTCTGGCTGAACAGGAAGTGACGCCGAGAATGTGGCACAAGGAGGCACGTTTCTGCAGAGGAGAGAATAGACAGAAATCTCTTTCAGTCTCAGCCAACTATTTATTTAACTCTTTGTCTTCATACGAGGGAGCTGCCGTGGTTTAGCGGCTAGACGCTCGCCTACGGATCGAAGGTAATGGGTTAACATCCGAATAGAGATGAACTTTTCTCAACAAATGACCCTGGCTAAGACGTGGACCCCACTTTAATGAGTACGAGGTGAAATCTTGGGAAGAAAATGCGGCCGATGTGATAATGACCAAATCACTCAGCCAGTGCTGTTTGTTCTTTGCAGTACAAGTCTAGCCCTGTATGCCCAATAGGCGCGGAAAACGGTCTTTTGCTAATTTTATAACAGGTGTATTTGAAAGGATGCTTGGCTATGGGACAGAATGGGGTTTGTGGTACTATAGAATTAACCAGGATCTAAATCTTCGGGTCCATGATCACACCTGTCTGATGCCGTCCTAAACCGTTATTTAAAAAAAAGAAATGTTTTTTTTTAATTCTCAGCCACACAGTGAAATGTTTTTTGTTTATTTTTTAATTCTCACCCACACAGTGAAATGTTGTTTTGTTTTTTTTTAAATTCTCACCAACACAGTGAAATGTTTTTTTTTTTTTTTAAATTGTCACCCACACAGTGAAATGTTTTTTTTTTTTTTTTTAATTCTCACCCACACAGTGAAATGTTTTTTTTTTTTTTTTAAATTCTCACCCACACAGTGAAATGTTTTTGGTTTTTTTTTAATTCTCACCCACACAGTGAAATGTTTTTTTTTTAAATTCTCACCCACACAGTGAAATGTTTTTGTATTTTTTTAAATTCTCACCCACACAGTGAAATGTTTTTTTTTAATTCTCACCCACACAGTGAAATGTTTTTGTGTTTTTTTAAATTCTCACCCACACAGTGAAATGTTTTTGTTTTTTTTTAAATTTTCACCCACACAGTGAAATGTTTTTGTTTTTTTTAAATTCTCACCCACACAGTGAAATGTTTTTTTTTTTTATTCTCACCCACAGTGAAATGTTTTTGTTTTTAATTCTCACCCACACAGTGAAATGTTTTTGTTTTTAATTCTCACCCATGCAGTGAAATGTTTTTGTTTTTAATTCTCACCCACACAGTGAAATGTTTTTTTTTATTCTCACCCACACAGTGAAATGTTTTTTTTTTAATTCTCACCCACAGTGAAATGTTTTTTTTTTAATTCTCACCCACACAGTGAAATGTTTTTGGTTCTTTTTTTAATTCTCACCCACACAGTGAAATGTTTTTTTTTTTAATTCTCACCCACACAATGAAATGTTTTTTTTTTTTTATTCTCACCCACAGTGAAATGTTTTTTTTTTTATTCTCACCCACACAGTGAAATGTTTTTGGTTCTTTTTTTAATTCTCACCCACACAGTGAAATGTTTTTTTTTTATTCTCACCCACACAATGAAATGTTGTTTTTTTTTTTTATTCTCACCCACAGTGAAATGTTTTTTTTTTATTCTCACCCACACAGTGAAATGTTTTTGGTTCTTTTTTAATTCTCACCCACACAGTGAAATGTTTTTTTTTTTAATTCTCACCCACGCAGTGAAATGTTTTTTTTTTAAAATTCTCATCCACACAGTGGAATGTTTTTTTTTTTTTTTTCTCACCCACAGTGAAATGTTTTTGTTTTTTTTAATTCTCACATACACAGTGAAATGTTTCTTTTTTTTTTTTTATTCTCACCCACACAGTGAAATGTTTTTTTTTTTTTTATTTCTCACCCACACAGTGAAATGTTTTTGTTTTTGTTAATTCTCACCCACACAGGACAGAAAACTGCACCAGTCTAATGTCACCGTTATGTTTCCCATTTTCAAAACATCATGGGCGACTGGGTCACTCATTGGCTTGGCGGTAGACGATTTCGTCGCCGGTCGAGACAGCATTTGGGTCTGTTTCCTGCGATCGCATCAACACTGCAAGAGTCCTTTTCATTGCTCTTGGTGGCGAGCAATAATAAGCTCACAAAACCTAGTCACAATTATAACCTAAAATACTCCCTGGGGGATGTGCGTTGAATGTGACAGTTTTTTTTATAAATTTGACCAAAGCAGCGGAATCAATTTCAGCAATCACACTGGTGGTTGAACTGGGTACACAGGAGCCGCTCTTCTGGTCTACCAATCAGATAAAGATGTTTTTTTAATCATCAGGTTGTCAAACCTTCAGGAAGCTGGCAAGGGTTTTAGGAAGGGAGGAGGGGGCAAACAGAAGAAAGGAGAAAAGTGTGGCAAAAACACTGAAAACAGTAAAACAAAACTGCAATAAAATAAAGTAAAGAAAAAATGAATTATTTAATTCTTTGTCAACTGAACAAAACTTCTCAAAGCTATATAAATCTTATCCTGATTTTTGGAAGTAAATCATGGACAGTTGGCTGATAAGTGAATTATTAACTGGAGCGGTCGAGATGTAGTTTTAGAGATGAATAAAAGGAAAACCATGGACATAGAAAAAGAGTAATGAAGATACCTTGACAGGAACTGACACATGAAATGAACTAATTACCTTTATCAGAAGGTAGTATGGGAAGCCTTAAACTGGTGTAGATCCTCTTCTTATTTTTCTTCACTTCCACCAATTACTACAGCGAGGTGTTTGGGGGTGGTAAGGATCACTTGTACGCTTTTTCCAATGCATTGTACAAGTTGGTGTTATTTTTTGTTGGGTTGCTCCCGATGGTGTCGAGCTCTATGTCTTGCGTGGTCTTCCCCTTGCACTGCATTCATTATTTTTCTTTATTGTGGCTCTCTGTGGCAGTTGATACCAGGGAATTCTTGTCAGGTGACCAAACCATCTCATTTGTTGATCTTTCATGAATTGTATGACCTGGTTTCAGTCCAAGTCTTCTTTTAATTTCTTCATTCCTGATTTTCTCTCTTCTTGTCACACCGGCAGCTCTCCTAAGACATCTCATCTCTTTTGTTACGATTTTCCGCTCATCAGTTGTAGTAAGGGTTGTAGTAAGTGCCATGTTTGGCACTGATAGCACAATGTCGACCCAAAAAAACTGTTCTTATGAGATTTGCTTTGGTTGACAGAGGTATCTTTCTATGCGTCAGAAGCAGTGTTAATTGTCCCATAGCCTGATTTGCTCTCGCACATGGTGTGTTGATTTCTCGTCCAATTATCCATTTGAGTTGTAAAATTGCCCTAGATATTTAAATTTGCTCATTTGTGTAGATCATGACTGTTGGAAAGCTGAGGGGCAAACAAAAGAGAGGTAGATCATGACTGTTGGAAAGCTGAGGGGCAAACAAAAGAGAGGTAGATCATGACTGTTGGAAAGCTGAGGGGCAAACAAAAGAGAGGTAGATCATGACTGTTGGAAAGCTGAGGGGCAAACAAAAGAGAGGTAGATCATGACTGTTGGAAAGCTGAGGGGCAAACAAAAGAGAGGTAGATCATGACTGTTGGAAAGCTGAGGGGCAAACAAAAGAGAGGTAGATCATGACTGTTGGAAAGCTGAGGGGCAAACAAAAGAGAGGTAGATCTTGACTGTTGGAAAGCTGAGGGGCAAACAAAAGAGAGGTAGATCATGACTGTTGGAAAGCTGAGGGGCAAACAAAAGAGAGGTAGATCTTGACTGTTGGAGAGCTGAGGGGCAAACAAAAGAGAGGTAGATCTTGACTGTTGGAAAGCTGAGGGGCAAACAAAAGAGAGGTAGATCTTGACTGTTGGAAAGCTGAGGGGCAAACAAAAGAGAGGTAGATCTTGACTGTTGGAAAGCTGAGGGGCAAACAAAAGAGAGGTAGATCATGACTGTTGGAAAGCTGAGGGGCAAACAAAAGAGAGGTAGATCTTGACTGTTGGAAAGCTGAGGGGCAAACAAAAGAGAGGTAGATCATGACTGTTGGAAAGCTGAGGGGCAAACAAAAGAGAGGTAGATCATGACTGTTGGAAAGCTGAGGGGCAAACAAAAGAGAGGTAGATTATGACTGTTGGAAAGCTGAGGGGCAAACAAAAGAGAGGTAGATCTTGACTGTTGGAAAGCTGAGGGGCAAACAAAAGAGAGGTAGATCATGACTGTTGGAAAGCTGAGGGGCAAACAAAAGAGAGGTAGATCATGACTGTTGGAAAGCTGAGGGGCAAACAAAAGAGAGGTAGATCATGACTGTTGGAAAGCTGAGGGGCAAACAAAAGAGAGGTAGATCATGACTGTTGGAAAGCTGAGGGGCAAACAAAAGAGAGGTAGATCTTGACTGTTGGAAAGCTGAGGGGCAAACAAAAGAGAGGTAGATCTTGACTGTTGGAAAGCTGAGGGGCAAACAAAAGAGGTAGATCTTGACTGTTGGAAAGCTGAGGGGCAAACAAAAGAGAGGTAGATCATGACTGTTGGAAAGCTGAGGGGCAAACAAAAGAGAGGTAGATCATGACTGTTGGAAAGCTGAGGGGCAAACAAAAGAGAGGTAGATCATGACTGTTGGAAAGCTGAGGGGCAAACAAAAGAGAGGTAGATCATGACTGTTGGAAAGCTGAGGGGCAAACAAAAGAGAGGTAGATCATGACTGTTGGAAAGCTGAGGGGCAAACAAAAGAGAGGTAGATCTTGACTGTTGGAAAGCTGAGGGGCAAACAAAAGAGAGGTAGATCTTGACTGTTGGAAAGCTGAGGGGCAAACAAAAGAGAGGTAGATCTTGACTGTTGGAAAGCTGAGGGGCAAACAAAAGAGAGGTAGATCATGACTGTTGGAAAGCTGAGGGGCAAACAAAAGAGAGGTAGATCATGACTGTTGGAAAGCTGAGGGGCAAACAAAAGAGAGGTAGATCTTGACTGTTGGAAAGCTGAGGGGCAAACAAAAGAGAGGTAGATCATGACTGTTGGAAAGCTGAGGGGCAAACAAAAGAGAGGTAGATCATGACTGTTGGAAAGCTGAGGGGCAAACAAAAGAGAGGTAGATCATGACTGTTGGAAAGCTGAGGGCAAACAAAAGAGAGGTAGATCTTGACTGTTGGAAAGCTGAGGGGCAAACAAAAGAGAGGTAGATCATGACTGTTGGAAAGCTGAGGGGCAAACAAAAGAGAGGTAGATCTTGACTGTTGGAAAGCTGAGGGGCAAACAAAAGAGAGGTAGATCTTGACTGTTGGAAAGCTGAGGGGCAAACAAAAGAGAGGTAGATCATGACTGTTGGAAAGCTGAGGGGCAAACAAAAGAGAGGTAGATCTTGACTGTTGGAAAGCTGAGGGGCAAACAAAAGAGAGGTAGATCATGACTGTTGGAAAGCTGAGGGGCAAACAAAAGAGAGGTAGATCATGACTGTTGGAAAGCTGAGGGGCAAACAAAAGAGAGGTAGATCATGACTGTTGGAAAGCTGAGGGGCAAACAAAAGAGAGGTAGATCATGACTGTTGGAAAGCTGAGGGGCAAACAAAAGAGAGGTAGATCATGACTGTTGGAAAGCTGAGGGGCAAACAAAAGAGAGGTAGATCATGACTGTTGGAAAGCTGAGGGGCAAACAAAAGAGAGGTAGATCATGACTGTTGGAAAGCTGAGGGGCAAACAAAAGAGAGGTAGATCATGACTGTTGGAAAGCTGAGGGGCAAACAAAAGAGAGGTAGATCTTGACTGTTGGAAAGCTGAGGGGCAAACAAAAGAGAGGTAGATCTTGACTGTTGGAAAGCTGAGGGGCAAACAAAAGAGAGAGACATCGAGAGAGAAGATGCTGGATAGTGTGACATAATTACACGAAAGACTATCTGTGTCAGAACTGCTTGAAAGTACATGAGACAGACGATTGTGGATAAACGTGACTACCAACGCCACACGGCATGGACTTTAGGAAGAAGAAGCAGAAAAAGAAGCAAAAGAAGAAGAAGAATATACATTATAAACTTACAGCATCTGGTGCTTTCTCATAAACGAGACGAACCTATTTCCAGCAACCATCACGAAGTTTCAAAATACAAAGAGTCAGTTATAGTTTTTTTTTCTCTCATTATGCAATGTCTAACAGATTCTTGGGTCGCTGTCATGTGCACTTCTCGTGTTGTGTTTTATCTCCTCCCATCTTCCCTCATGTTTGCCTCCTCTTGAGTTTATCTGTTCTTTTTTTTGTCCCATCTCTTTGTATATTTACAGGGTGTATGATTGTGTATGTAAAAATGCTGTAGCATTATTTCATTAGGTATATATTATTTCATAAACATAACATGCATTATTGTTAACATGCCATTGTGGCTTGAATGAAATGTGCTGTCTAATCTCTTCTTCTCTCATGTTGGCCTTTTCTTTTGTTTTTCTTCTCTTGATTTCTCTTATCTCGTCTTGTCTTCCCTTGCGTTGACCTTCTCTCGTGTTTCTGTTGATTTATCTTATCTTGTCTGGTCTTCCCTTATCTTGGCATTTTCTCGTGCTTTGCTCTCAACTTGTCTTATCTTCCCTCATGCTGGCCTTTTCTCGTGTTTATTTTCTCTTGATTTGTCTTATCGTGTTTTGTCTTCCCTTGTGTTGGCATTTACTCGTGTTTTTCTCTCAACTTGTCTTATCTTCCCTCATATTGGTCTTTTCTCATATTTGTCTTCTCTTGATTTGTCTTTTCTCATTTTATCTTCCCTCACTTGGGGCTTTTCTCGTGTTTGTATTCTGAGGGATTGTCTTACCTGTGTGTTGCAATCAGGGTTTGTTATTTTTTTTTTTTTTTTTTACATACCAAATGTGACCATTGAATCACATTTACCACTTTGATATCCACTTAATATCAAAAAGATGATTTGAAATCTTATATATGCCACATTGAAGCAATATAATTAACACATAGCAGAGGGAAGACAAAGCAAACAATAGAACAATAACATCCAGAAATGAAGATCAACATACAAAGGAACAGAAGAAGGAAACAGAAGATCTGTTATGACAATGAGGAGGAGGAGGAAGAGGAAAAGGAGAAGGAGGAGCAACACATACACAGAGAATTTACTTACCCCTGTGGAAATGTGCGGCGGATTGCCACTCCATCCACTGTGACACTACATTGGGTCAAGGTCACATTGAGTGGGTTTGTAAATGAAACATCAACTTTGAATTCTTCATTCTCGTTGACCTCAGCTGGTGACTGGAGATAAAGCCATAAAGTCATTTTTAAAGATAGGGTATTGGCCCTTTTGTGGCAGGGTGTCAAAAGCTATTTTGATTTGACTAGACTTGTGAAAAAGTCTGGCAAGCAGAGGTCAGAAGTTGATAAAAGGGACAGGACAGGAAGTCTCTTAGCTTTCCGTCTGCTGGACCGACCGCCCTAGAGAGATGAGACTGTGTCAAGGGATGGAGTGGCTACTTCACGGTTTAGGTACTTCTCAATGGTTAGTTTCCTTGCTAGACTTAGATTTCCATCAGTAATTCAATTGTGTGAGCCAGACCTAAGTAGCAGTGTGTATCCTTGCTCGGAGATAGTTTGATTGCAGGTCGCTTTGGGTGATTTATTTATCTGGTGGTATGTTGAAGCTTAACGTGTATATTAATATGTTTAAATTTTTGCCATTTCTTGGGAAATCAGTGGGTCTACTCTTGTTTCTCCCACACTAGGGCACCGGATCCCACATGGAGACGATTACCGAAACAAATATGTGCAAAATGAAAGTAAATTAAGTGATAAAGGACTTGTTTCCCGCCAGTGGCATATCGGCACATAGTGCTAGACATATATTATCATTATGTAGCAGGTGCTTTGAAGAACACCGCTCTCATCATGGTCTACCTGAAAGAAACTCGGTCTCTCGCCAGCTTTCCCGCCTCGTGTATTTTTATATTCAAGTAGTCACTTATATTCTGAGCCCATCTTCATGTTTGTCGACCCGTGTCCCTCCCTCCTGGGGCCATGCCTTCTGCTATCTTTTTTTCCTATGCTGTTTGACACTTGAAAAGACGAAAATATTTCAGCTTCTAAGACAAGATGCTGTTTATTAGCCAGTCTTCCTCGATGTTCAGATCTTTATAATTGTCAGTATTTCTTCTCTTTTCTTTCTATAAGATTCAAATATACTGGGTGGAATACTGATGAATGATAAGGCAGAGGTGATTAAGGCCTTATGGGAGCATGTCTACAACTTGGAACAGCAAGTTGATCATTACAGTTTGGTAAGAGCGATGCAGCGGGGAGTGGTGAGGGGATCTGGCCGACACTCGGAGGGAAGGCAAGACGGATATACAATCAGACTGCTACTTGCATCCCTGGTTTTTGGAACTATGTGTTGGCTGCTGAGGATGGGGTGGAGCGCTTATGCAAATGTCCCGAGTGCTGTGATGTCGTTTCTTGAATCAGATCAATCAATAAATCAGTCATATTTATATAGACCAGTCGGTACTCAATTCGTGCTACGGCATACATCATATTGGAAGGAAAATATACTATATGCTTAACTAAACTATTATCTTTTAAGGAAGTAAGGTAACTAAAACAATGAAACGACAGCATACATAAAACAGCTTTAGTGAATGAATGAACAAATGAATGAATCAATCAATCAATAATTGATATCACTGCACTCGGGACATTCCCAAATGTGCTTTCCCCTTCTTCAGTAACCAACAAAGAGCTGATATACTTTTTTTTTTTTTAGTATCCAGAAGCCATGAGTTGTTAACCCTTAGGCTCGGTATTATGGATATTGCAACCTTTCGGCCTTGATTCCATTGTAAATATTGTAAATCTGGGAGAAATGTGGCTTTTCTGCCTACCCCCGGGATTGAACCCGGACCACAAGGAGTTCGTCACCCGCTCACCGCTAGAGAGCCGGGCAGCTGATATGCTGACAGTACCAGCCACAACCTGATTAAAAGTATGCCTCTGTTTCCCCCCTTTGCCCCCAATGTTGAATTTTTTCACCGGGTAACACCGGTGTGTTGGGAAATGAACAGGCGGACAGACTGGCTGCTCTGCAAAACTTGGTGGAATACTGCTACATGATAGGGCAGACGTGGTTAGTGCCTTGTGGGAGAGCGTGTACAATGCGGAGGAGCAGATAGATCACCACAGTCTGGTGAGATTGATGCAGTTGGGGGTGGTGAGAGGTTCTGGCAGATGCTCGAGGCTCAGAGGAAAGGCAAGACGGACGTTTAATCAGAAAGCTACTGGCACCATTAGTATCAGAACTCTTCGCTGGCTACTGAAGATGAAGACGGAGCGCTTATGGGAATGCCCCGGGTGCTGTGATGTCGGTTCTTGAATCAAATCAAATCAAATCAATCAACCCTAATGTTGAATATCCTCCAGAACCTCTACACACTACCCGTTAAATTATTATTTCAGTGTATGGATTCTGTGTCTGTTTATTTGCACTGTCTATTTGATCCTATAGAGCCTTCACCACATCTGCTTTATCATAAATAAGTAATTCACCACCCAGAGGAGCAGCAGCAGCTAATCTATCAGCCCAACTATTACCTGAATATCATGGACAGAAAAGCTGTGCTGACGCCAGTTTCCTATTTCCAAAGCATGGTCTGTGAGCCCGTTACAATCGCAGCATGTTGGACTCTGCTGTTCTCAAGCCATCAGAAAGCTGCCATTATTGTCTTCACCTCCATTAGAGAATGTAGAGTTTTCGAGAACTGTAGACCACCTTCCAATGCAAAGCACATAGAACATTCTAGTATCTATCCAAACACGTTGTTGAGGAAACAGCAGGAAGATGAGATGATGAAGAGGAAATAGTAGTAATTGCAGTAACAGCAGCAACAGCCTTAGTAATAGCAGCAGAAGTAGTAGTAGCAACATTTATAGTGGTAGTATTAGTAGTAGAGAAGAAGAAGCAGTAGAAGGAGGAGGAGGAGCAGGAAGAAAGATGAATAGGAAAAAGTAAGAATTGCAAGAAGAAATGTATTACCTTGGCAGCCAAATGAGGCTTGTGAAGCCTGTAGTCCTCTTTTTTGGCGAAGTTCTGATTGGTTTCTTCCACGTGAGCCATGATGGTCACATCGATCATACAGCCATCCTTCAGATGTCCATCGTACTCGTCCTGTGTCACCTCAACCTTCTGTACTTTCTCTGTTATAGATGGGAAAAATACATGTCTACTAATGTAGTCAGTGACGGTGCCTCAGCTAATCTATCTATCTAGCTATCTAGATCTAGACAGCTGTCTGTCTGTCTGTCTGTCTGTCTGTCTGTCTGTCTGTCTGTCTGTCTGTCTGTCTGTCTGTCTGTCTGTCTGTCTGTCTGTCTGTCTGTCTGTCTGTCTGTCTGTCTGTCTGTCTGTCTGTCTGTCTGTGGGTATCTGCGGTCTACCTCGTTGGTCTGCCATCCAGATTGATAATTTTAAATGATAAACCATAACGGATTCAAGTGTGATGAAATGATAGGTTGCAGCTAACAAGGATCAAACTATTTGATTGTTCGATACCACACTTTATTGCCCCGTATATATTGCTGTATTTTATCAGGTGGTTTACAGGAGAGTTTACATCAATCAATCAATTAATCAATCAATCATCATCATCGCGGCTGAGTTACATAAAAGGTACATAAGGCAGAGGTACATAAGGCAGTGATACATAAGTCAGAGGCACATAAGGTAGAGACAAAACGTGGCCACTTAATTGGATCCTAAACTATTCTCTATCTCCAGTTTAGTCATTTGCGTAGCGAAGATACACATAGAATTGAATGGTATTAACTAGTATTGAATTGCAATTTTCCTGGTAAGAGCATTCAGTTTAACATTAACCCATAGCAATATTAACTCAACACTGACCTTCGCCAGGCTTCAACTGAAAAAGAAAAGGCTCCGACTTGAGTGTGTCTGCCGTGATACCGGTGTAGTACATGGTGCTCACAGCGATCCTGCCATTGACGGTTCGCTTCTGCTGACTGTTGTTCTTGATCCGTAGGCCGACTATGAAGCTGCCACCCACCCAGGTGTTCTCTGAATCCTGCTCAATGCTAAACTGGACATCCTGGGAAAGAGAAAAGACAATGTAGGTAAGAAAAGGGGCCCTATTCCACACCTTAAGGCATACTGGGCACATAGGGCTAGACCTACATTTTATAGACCAATCGGTGGGCCGACTGTACTTCACCTAGTACCCATTTTATCCTTGGCTCAATCTGGGAACTTTTAGTTATTTTTGGGGGGAGGGGAGGGGGGAAATAAGACTCAATGCGGATTGAACCCACGACTTTTAGGTCCGAGGCGAGCATCTAGCCGATACACCACAGCAACATCCGAATAGGCAATATACATGCTTAAATAATGAGTATGTGACTATAAACTGGGTTAAGGAAATGAGGAAATTCAAGACAAACTATAAACTGGACTAAGGAAACGAGAACCTTCAAGACAAACTATTAACTGGATTGAGGAATTGAGGACCTTCTAGACAAACTTTAAACTGGATTGAGGAAACAAGGTAATTCAAGACAAACTATAAACTGGATTGAGGAAATGAGGACCTTCTAGACAAACTATAAACTGGATGGAGAAAACGAGGACCTTCTAGACAAACTTTAAACTGGATTGAGGAAACAATGTCATTCAAGACAAACTATAAACTGGCTTGAGGAAACAAGGACATTCAAGACAAACTTTAAACTGGATTGAGGAAATAAGGACATTCAATACAAACTAGAAAATGGATTGAGGAAATAAGGACATACAAAACAAACTTTAAACTGGATTGAGGAAAGAGGACATTCAAAACAAACTATGAACTGGAGTGAGGAAACAAAAACATTCAAGACAACTTATAAACTGGACTGAGGAAAGGAGGCCATTCAAGACAAACTAAAAACTGGATTGAGGAAGGAGGACATTTAAGACAAACTATAAACTGGATTGAGGAAAATGAGGACATTCAAGACAAACTATAAACTAGACTGAGGAAATGAGGACATTCAAGATAAACTACAGACTGAACACGGAGATGCTAAAGTAGCTGAATTAGACTTCCTCTGATAAGGGTGTATGGTCTTTCTCTTCAGGTTCGTCAGTACTAAGTCAAATAAAAGTAAGGGACCCTTTTCCCTACCGTCACTGGACACTACTGGTAAACAGAAAGCCTCGCGTACAATTTCCAGGATGAGAATGGAGGTGGAGGCAGTAACCGCAGCTTTCCGATTGCCTGAGCAAGGCCCAACATATTTTAGTTGTAACAGATTCATAGAGCATACTCTGGAAAATTTAAACTGGCTTTCTGTATGCAAAATGGCTTGCATCACTTGATAAGACCCAGATCTGGAGTGTATCATAGATTTTCTGTCAAGAAAATTCAGGTGTACAAACAGGCTGATAGATTAGCTGCTGTCGTCGCTCTGGGCAGTGAGCGGCCTTATGATCAAGCGGATGTGGTTAAGGCTCTATGGGATCAAATGGACAGTGGTAGAGAGCAGATCGTTAATCCATACTGTGCCAGGGGACTGGTTATGGCTGTCAACCTGCCTGGTTGAAAGACTAATAAAAGGAGAGTTCTGGCAGTTATTCAACATTAGGCTGCAGCTTGTGCTATTAGCATGTTGATGCATTGTTGCTTACTGAAAAAAAGGAATGAGGCACATGCAGCTCCAGCTGATAGGCCATACTGCTGATGTCACCGGGTCGGGCTAACGATGCGTTAACGCAGTTCTCAAGCAAGAAATAAACTATTTCGACAGTGGCGAGGGGAGACAACTTAAATTTTAAATTTTAAGTATCTACATGCCTTCTAAAATAATATCACAATTTTTAGCTGACTTTTTTTTATTCTTGCCACGGATCCCTGGCATACACTTATGGCATCCCAGGATGCCTCGGCACCCAGTTTGGGAACCGCTGCGTTAATGCATCGCCAGCCCGGCCTGTGACGTCAGCAGCACGGCCCGTCAGCTGGCGCCGATCATGGATGAGGCATGTGCGGGAATGTCCTGCGTGCAGTGATCACAATTCATTCATTCGAACAAACAAAGACTTATGTTACATGTCTTGATTATGTATTATTTCTTGTCTTCTCTAATTGCATTTCTCACTTTCTTCATGTGGCCTTTGTACATCGCGTTGTTAGTTTACATCCCTTTGTTAGTGTCTGTTATTTGATGCTGTAGTTTTCTTCTTTCTTCCATTAACCAAAAAATTACCCCACAGTAAACCAATTCTGTTTCTTTTAGCTTTTTCCATCAACTATGCTTTGTGCTATAGTAATGAATATGTCCGTTGCCTCATTGGCTAGTTCGTCAGGTGACATCTCATCCTAAACTGCCATCAATGTTTCAAACTTATTTTATCACTTCTATTCTGTACTCAGATGGTATGAGACTTATATCAATACTCTGAAAGCATGCTGAGAAAGGTGAAGACAGGGATGCTTCGAGCAGAGTGGCAAGCTTCACTAAAAAAGGTCACAGGTAGTGAGTATACTTTTGATCTTTTCTCCAGGCAACGCTGGCGTGGTGGGTAATGAGCAGTCAGACAGATTGGCTGGATCTGCACCACTGGGTGGTGAATTGATACATGACAAGGCAGATGTGGTCAAGGCCCTTGGGAACAAGCAATGGAATCAGTAGAGAAACAAGATTATTATGGCCTGGAGAGAATGAGGCATCTGTGTGTTTCCAGAGGGTCTGGCCGACTCACTACACTCAGAGGAAAGGCAAGACGGACATGTAACCAGTTTGTGACTGGTACCATCAGTATCGGAACTCTGCACTGGCTGCTGAAGATGAGGAATGCCCCGAGTGCAGTGATGTCAATTTGTGACTCAACTCAATAAGAATTGCATTTTCTCTTTTGTATATTTTTTTCCCCCACACGCAATTTATGGTTATGCAGTGTTTTGTGTTCTTGAATTTAAAGAAAGTGAAAATAATGTTCACAGATAAAATGGCTGTCACCGAAACAAATAATAAATAAAAACAATAAATGATAAAGAAATTGAAAATGTCACAAACTTTGAATATCTAGGCTCTATAATAAACAGCAATGGAGACTGTTTGACATAAATTAAAAGGAGGATGGCCATAGCAATGCAAAGATTGAACAGCCTTAAAAGAAATGTTACCTTAATATGTTGTCCAGCAATACTGATATAACATGAATTAAAATTGTTACGGGGCTAATCCATAATCAACAGTAAGCGAACTTACATTTGCTGTTGGCTTGTAGATGTCGTGCCTGGTGGCGCTGACCAAGTTAGCCTTGATGACCGTTGACCTCTCTTCAGCTGTGCCTGCGTGAGAAAATGGTGTTGAAAGGGTTCTCAAATTGTGTACTCATGCTTTTGTGTTCTTTTATAATATTCATATTATGCATAACATCATATGATCATAACATGCTTTATTAGTAAAATACAACTGCTGTGCGAAAAATGGTTGACTGGAAGGGCCGAATGTTAGACGGGCCTGCATGCCCAATTTGTGACCCTTTGAAAATAAAGTTTGTTCGTTCGTTCGTTCGTTCGTTCTAGAAGGTGTAAAAACAATGTTTAGGCTCTATAGGGGTTTTTTTGGGGGAGAAGCTGCAGAGATGGGGTTTTGTAGACGACTGAAAGTAATAATCTGCAGAGATAAAAAGAGTCATTAAGATGTCGTGGAAGAAACTGACTAATGAAGAAAACTGAAGTACATGGTGACAATAGGAAAGTCGGAGTGGAGAAAAGGCACAGAGCGAGAGAAAAGATGTTGGACAGTTTAACATCATGGCATGGAGGATCATCTGTCAGAGTTGATTGAAAATAGAAGAGACAGAAGAATTTGTATAGACATAACTACCGCCATCAAACTGCATGGACTTTCAGAAGAATAGGGTGTGTAAACGGTGTTAAAAGGATGCTTAAATAATATTTAAAGCGTGGTTAAAGTGTGTTTAAATAGTATCTGAAAAGTGTTTAAAGTGTGTTTTAATTGTGTTAAAAGGTTTTATTGTGTTTTAAAAGGTTTTTAAAAGCATTTAAAGTGAGTTTACATGGTTTAAAGGTTATTTAAAGAGCGTTTTAGTTTAAAGAGTGTTTAAATGTTGTTTAGCCCTTTCAGTTCTAGTGTCACATCAACAAGACAATGAAAACCAGTAAGAACGCAAGTAAAAGAAGGACTGATGACATCAAACATAATGTACATCCCTACAGGTAAACAGGAACTGGCATCCCACCCCAGCCCCACACACTTTTGCCACCAGAAACACCAGATCAGACCGCCAAATATTTCTCTATGGGAGATTTGACAGCAAATGTATAACATGATTATCGTGATATTGATACCAACCTCATAACCTGAGAGTGCGAAAAATGATGCTGGGAAAGTTGGAGGGGAAAAGAGGCCTAGGAAGAGACTATAGAGAAGATGCTAAATAGTTTTTTGTCATTGGATGAAAGATCATCTGTGTCAGAACAGAATACATGACCATCAATGCCACAATGTATGGAAGATCATCTATGTCAGAATTGATTGAAAGTACACAAAACAAAAGACAGAATAACAACGCCACAAGGTATGGAAGATCAAGAGTGTCAGAATTGATTGAAAGTACATGAAACAGAAGAAATGATTATCAACGCCACAAGGTATGGAAGATCATAAGTGTCAGAATTTATTGAAAGTACATGAAACAAAAGACATGACCACCAACTCTGTAAGGTACGGAATATCATCTGTGTCAGAATTTACTGAAAGGGCACAAGAGAGAAGACATGACCACCAACGCCACAAGTTATGGAAGATCATCTATGTCAGGATTTATTTAAAGTAAACTCAACAGAAGACATGACCATCAACGCCACAAGGTATGTAGGATTAAATGTGTCAGAATTGACTGAAATGGCACGAGACACAAGACATGACCACCAACGCCACAAGGTACGGAATATCATCTGTGTTAGAACTTACTGAAAGTGCACAAGACAGTAGACTTTACTACCAACGTCACAAGGTATGGAAGGTCATCTGTATCAGAGTTGCTTGAAAGTGCACGAGACAGAAGATTGCCGAAAGACACAGTTATCAATGATACACCAACCTTCAGAATGTTTGTATTTGAGTGTGAGATCCTCTCTCTCATTTGAATTTGGCGCTTTTGTACTGATAAACTTGCCAATCCTGTTTTTAAAAAAAAATACACACAAATATTATACATGTTTAAACAAGGCAGGCCAAGTGATGGAGAAAACCGCATACAGACACATGGCCTGTTCAATACTGCCCAGACAGTATACTATGGAGAGGAGTACTTTATATATACATGTAATAAACAAGAAGGCAATGTTTTAATCGGCACTCACAGAAAGAAGTAGAAAGATAGATGGACACACTAGACAACACAAAAATCTAAAGCTATAGTTACTGTGCCGGGAATCACACCTGTTACCTCCAAATGGCGCTATGGAAACAAGTGTACTAAGAACAAGACCAGCTAGGCACCCCCATCTGCCCCCCCCCCCCCCACCCAGATAAATGCAGGGAGGGGGTGACTTTATTGGCCATGTATATCGAGTAGCTTGAAATCCACAACTATAGAATAGTGATATAATTGATCTCAACCATTGAAACAGCACCAAAGGTTACATCAGTTTATTTTAACCAAGCATTGGTCGAATAACAATTACAACAATAATTACTTGTTTCCATAGCGAGGCGCATGCACCATTTGAAGGTGACAGGTTGGATTCCTGGCACGGTAACTATAGCTTTTGATTTTTAAGTTGTCTATAGTGTCATTCTATCTTTCTACTTCTTTCTATAAATGCTGATCAATACATTGTCTGTTATTATGTTTATAATAATTATATGGCCCCAAGGTATCCGTAACAGTAGCTGGTATCACGTCAGGGATCTTGTTGTGCATAGAAGTTTACGTAATAAGTAAAATCAAGTCAACGACCCCTTTCCTATATGTTTATTGACCAGTCTGCACTTGGTGGGTGATGTGGACAGCATCATGCCTGTCGCCTTTACTTCCCAGGAGTTCGTCTGGCACCCATTTAAGACTAGGTAGACCTGGGAGCCAATGGGGAAAAAAACGTCGGGCTCCGTCAGGACGTGAACTCATGGCCTTCTAATCCGCAGGCTAGTTCCTAGCCGCTACACCACGGCTGGTTCCTTAGGAGTCCAGAGATAACCATAATTGGAGTGTCCCATTGCGAGTAAGAATTAAAGTCTTTCCAACCATTTGATGGCCACGGGTCTAGTCACCGTGTTAAAAGTGGGTTCCCGAAATGCTTGGATATAAAGAAAGATATAATGAACTAGCTGATAAACTAGTTAAGGAAGGTACGAATGAAGAACAAACTGACGTACCAGTCTATTATCAACAAAAGAAGAGAATAATCAAATCTGTCAGACAGCCATCAAAACTGGCACAAGATGATTACCATTTTATGGACAGACCGGAGCAAGTTATTATTCTATGTCCTCGAACAGGACACAGTCGACTTCGCAGTAACATGTACACAAAATTTAAAATCGGCGAATCAGCCATGTACACATGTGGTGGCACCTGAGACAACAGATCATGTCCTCCAAGACTGTCCCAAATACAACATATCAAAGCAAAACTTTTGGCCAAGAGAAACATCGGTGCAAGTCAAACTTTACGGGACGCTGAATGAATTACAAAAGACAGTGAAGTTCATACTAGAGACAACATTGCAGATATAGATAATCTATTTCAAATAAATGAAAGAAGAAGAAGAAGCTTGGATATAAACATCATTGTATAATTTACCTCCACTCGACTTATGACCAATGTGACACGATCATTCGCACTTACAACAACAAAAAATAGACATACATAAACAGAAACATAAACATTTCTTTTGGAAATTTTCTCCAGATAATGCTGGTGTGTTGGGAAATGAGCAGGCAGATGGACTGACCGATTCTGCACCATTTGGAGGTGAATTGATGTATGACAAACTAGATGTTGTGAGGGCTCTTTCAGAGCAAGTTAACCGTGCAAAGGCACAAATAAATCATTAAACCTAAGGAGAATGGCGCGAGTTACCAAAGAAACTCAATACTCAATGCTCAATACTCCTAGGGAAGGGTTATATGGATATCCCAGTGATGTGATGTCAATTATTATTTTAGCATCCAACATTTATCACACAAACAGAAAAAAAATAGATGTATAACTACATTAGTAGAGCCTAAAAGTTCCCCGAATTGATACCTAGAACATCATATGTAGGCAGATATACAATAATTAAATGTATACAACTGTCAGAATAACTAACGAGGATTGATTGAAGGAAGCTAATGAAAGCATATAAATATATACAGCAATAAGGAACCAACAAGGACTGTCATTTCTAAATTTAAAAAAAAATAAATAAATAAATAAAAAGAAAGAAAGGTTAAGGTAAAAAGAAAGAAAATGTCTGCTCCGACAAGGCCTGAACCTACGATCTTCGGATCCGCAGCTGAGTGCCTGGCCGTTAGCCCATGGCCACTCCCTCATCTTCAGTAGCCAGAGCAATGTCCCAGTTCAGACGGAAGCAGTAGCAGTACTAAGCAGCTGAGCTGACTAATCTTCTTCTTCTTCTTCGCGTTCACCAGCTATAAACTCTGGGGGGAAATTTCTGGTTGTTCAGCCACTTCTGGATTGCAGTCCTGTTCCAGAACCTGAGTGTTGCCTGTGCATCCCTTTTACAGATCTGACTCATTTGTGTGCAGACGGCTGGTTCCTTGCCTCTCAGGCAGACGCACTGCGACTTTGAAGAAAGCTCCCAATTAGTCGACTCCTACGACATGCTTTTGGGTAGGCAGTGGGTCTATTCTTGTTGTCCCTATAATAGGGCACCGGAACCCACAGGGGAAGCTGACAATTCAAATACGCTGTTTCTTACGATTTTTTGTCGATGTGCATGCATTCCAGGACTCCAAGCTCGTTGGGTTTCCAGTAAATGGTGTCGGCGTTCACTTCTGCGAACACAAACGGTCCATCATACGGCAAATGCACTTCTCCTTGTTGGACTGCCCTCACAGAGGCTGGGCCGCAGCAGTAGACACCTAAAAGAATGAAGGAGAAAGTTTCCTGGTTAAAGAAACCAGTCGGGGGAAAATCACAATGGTATAAATGAATATCTCAGATGAATCATCTTCTTCGTTGAGTCCTCTTTTTTCTTAGAGTCCATGCCGTGTGGCGTTGGTAGCCATGTCTATCCACAACCTTCTATCTCGTGTACTTTCAATCAGCTCTGACACAGAAGATCTTCCATAGTCCATGCCATGTTGCATTGGCAGTCATGTATATCCACAACCTTCTGTTTTGTTTACTTTTAATCAACTCTAACACAAATGATCTTCTGTACCATGATGTCAGACTGTCTAGTCTAGCATCTTTTCTCTCGGTCTCCCTCTGCCTCTTCTCCCCTCCAGCTTTCCTACCATCACGATGCATTCCAATTTCCACCTTCCCATCACATGATCAAAGAATGTAGATTGTCTCTTTCTGATAAAACATAACTGTAACAAAGAGTGAGATGTGGGCGAGCTGACCAAAGCTCTGTCCTCACTTGGAAGTTCCAATGAGGAAAGGGCAAAGGCTTTTAAATAACTAGATCCTCTGTCACTTACGCTAAGGCCATCCCTTGAACGGGATACAAGTAACAAACACGGAAACTGTGCAGTGTATAGTGTTGTTGAAAACCAAAGTATGCCTTCCTGAGTTTTAATACAGTCACCTTCAGGCTATCACTTGGTGTCACCAACTGGAAAGAGAAAGTCAACCAGAGAGATGAATAGGGGTAGGTGATATCTGCAGCAATGAACCTCTAGGGCTCGGAATGCTGAAGAAGGCCAACCAGAGAGATGTATGGAGGCGGGTGATATCTGCAGCAATGAACCTCAAGGGCTCGGAATGCGGAAGAAGAACTTAAGGCTGCGGAAACTTAGATACAAAGTAATCCCAGCCTGTCATTCGAGTTAGCTCTCATGTTACGGCGACTGTCCAAATAAGACACGCTCCCCCCCCCCCCCCCCCTTTCCACCCCCACCCAAAAATTCACATAATTGATAATAATAATAATAATAATAATAATAATATTCTTCGGCATCTCCAAGATTTTGAGGAGAATTTTCAGAAAAATCCATCCAATATCGTGGGGGAGAGGGGGGGGGGGGGGGGGGGGGGGGGGGGTTGAATTTGTCAGTGTTTATGTCATACCCTAACACCCCTATACTTTTGGACGTTTCCGAGAATTCCCCATGAAATCTCGGTGTCGACGTGATAAAGTGAGCAAAATAAAAAAAAATTTAAAAAAAAAGACAAATATCTCTCCACTGTCTTCTTGGTCCCCTTTGCGGTCTACGACTATTCACATCACCAGAGAATGCAGTGTTTAACTCTCTGTCATCAGACATTCTCTCAATATGCCCCAGCTATTTCAGTCTTTCATCTCTCATGATGCCAGTGATCAGTGGTGATTTAAACAGATTATTAATTTCGTTGTTGCTTCTCACTCTCCATTCCCCGCTGTTAACAATAATAATAATGATAATAATAATAATAATAATAATAATAATAAAACAATAATAACATTACATTAATAATAATTATTATTATATTATTAATTATTATAATTAATATTACAGTTTGAGACAAGAGAGTCAACTTCATGGCACCAGGTTTTATCCCACACGGCCTGGTCTCTCTCTCTCTCTCTCTCTCTCTCTCTCTCTCTCTCTCTCTATCTATCTCTCTCTCTCTGTCTCCGCAGAACAGTTTACAGTATGTCGAGAGAGGAGAACCGGAGCTAGTCTTTGGGCTTTGCATAAAGTCCAAACACCATAGCTCTGGCTACAATCCATTATGTAGGGGAAAAACGTTTTAAAAAATCCCTCACTAACGTAACTGGATAAAGAACCTTGTCTTCTTCTGTGTTTCTAGCCCCAGATGGAGCATAAGCACTCCACCACCTATCACATGTGGCTCTCCCCATGTCCTCCCCCATCTTTTTAACTGCACTCTCTCGCTCCTTTCTCCGTGTATTTTTTTTAAGTTTTCCATTATTTATATACCCTTGTGGATTCCAGTGCAAAGACATTCTAGTTGTACTGTTCTCAGGTTTTCTCAACGTGTGTCCTATCCAACGCCAGCATTCTTTCCTCACCTCTTGATCCTTTGGACTTGTTTAGTTCTCTCCCAAAGCTCTGCATTAGTGATTCTTTCATATCATGTAATTTACTTTATTCTGTATAGACACCAGTTAATGAATGTTTGCAGTTTGTGCTAGGCAACAATACAGTTGCTATTTTACCATCAGAAGCTTCTTGAGGTGTAGCATCTACGACTTGCCATCCGCCGTAACCAGGAGGAAGATCTGGGCGGGCTGTCCAAATCTCTGTCCACACATGGAAGTTCCTGAACACAAAGGAAAAACGCTTTCTTATAATAGGACAATTGAGGTGACAATCAAAATGTAACATAGGGAAGAGGTCAGAGGTTAACAGGTACCATAAGTCTAATAAACCAAGGGAACTTTGACACGGAAGCGAGAGATAGGAGATGTCAGGCAGCACTGAGATACTCAAGGAAACCCTGATTATCAAGTATAGAAAGACGAATTGCTTTAAGCATGACAACCAGAGTTCTAAGAACAGGTGTTGCAATTAGGAAAGCAAAAATCTTTTAGCTAGACAAGCAGCCACCGTGAGAGACAGACAAGCTTTCAGAAGGGCAGACAAAACCATAAATCAGGAGGATAACACATGTAAAGGGTACTCACAGTGGTCAGGTCAGGCTGCCAAGCAAGATAACTGACAAGAGATTGGAAGGTAGCAGAGAATCGACAGATGACATTTGAAAGGAATGAAAAATGAGCCAGGGGAAAAGAACAAAGGATAAAAGAGGGCTGGAAAAGGATGAAGGGGAAGAGAAGAAGTCATGTCTGAGGCTCTTTAGCCGAGTGGCGGGAGCAAAGGCTGGAACTTAGAAGAGAGAGTTGACTATATGGCCTAGGACCAACTTGGTCAAGAAAGAAAGATATTTCAACAGTACGTTTAGAAGAAACTTTATTAACAGTTGATAATAGTGAATAACTTGAATGTAATAGCAATTTATTTTGAAGTATATGAATCATCATTGTGTTAAATGAACTTATCGTCATATATAAATAGCCAGCAACAATATGCTGAAGTGTTCATACTTTTGTTTAAAGAAAACATATTCGTCCTGCTTGAATTGACATTAAATTGCTTAATGAACGAACTTATTTTCAGTTGATTTGTTGGATCACTGGCTGTGTTGATTCACACCAGAACACTATCTGATCACTTGTTCGTAAAGCATGCTCAAAACTTGGAGATAAAATTGTATCTCCTAAACAGCATATATGAAATGTCCAAGTCTTTAAACAAAAACAAAAAAAAACAAAAAAAGATTGAGCTGAGTTAAACTGAAATGAGTTTTAAGAATCGACATCACAGCACTCAGAACATTCCCATAAGCGCTCCGTCCCCATCCACAGCAGCCAGCAAAGAGTTCCACCTCTGATGGTACCAGTAACAGTCTGATTGTAAATGCTTCTTGCCTTTCCTCTTAGTGTGGAAGGTTGGCCAGATGCTCTAGTCTTCATCTTCGTTCACGGGCTGTGAATTTCGGCGGTAGGCCCTGGTTAATCGTCCGCTTGAACTTTTTCCTTTTACCAGGACCTGAGTTTTGCGTGTACAACCGTTTTACTGGCTTTTACCGTTCCCTGTCTTAAGGGCAGACGTGCTCCGACTTCGAGGGAAGACGTCAGGCCTTTTTCTAGGATGACTGTGGCCATTAGATGCTCTAGTAACTTCCATTCTTTTCAGACCATGATAATCTAAGTGTGCCTCCACACTGTTGACTTCCTGGCTGCAAAAGGGACGGAATACTAAAGGACGATACCAGGAAACAAGGGGGGACATAACCAGGCCTAAACTACATTGGTTCATTCATTCATTCAGTAGCATGTCCCTCGCGGAACCTCGCTGCCGTAACAACCCTCCGGAAAACCTTCCTATCATGAGCAAGATGTCCTGCGTCTGATACACCCATCTGGAGATCATCTGCCACATCCTGCACCCATCTTCTCCTTGGCCTTCCTCTTCCTCTCTTCCCAGGCATATACCCTTCCATTATTGTTCTCTCTAGACTTCCATGACGTTTCAAGTGACCAAAATATTTCAATTTTCTTTGTTTTATTGTCTTTACTAGCCAACCCTCTTCAATATTCAGCTCTTGAAGTATGGATGCATTTGTTCTTTTCTCCATCCAAGATATTCTTAGAACCTGTCTGTAACATTTATATTCAAATGCATTTATGCGCTGTTCCGCTTGTTTAGTAAGTGTCCAGGTCTCACAGGCGTATGTTACTACATTGGTTACTTAGCTAAAATACTTATTATCCTCATTGCACATTGGACAACTCCAGAAGCGCTCAGATCCCATCTTCAGTATGTTCTCAGCCTGTGGCGACTGACCGGCAATGCATCTTTTCATCTGATGTTTGTGTAGTCTTTTGAATGTTGCCAACTCAACATGGTCTGCTAAATAACCTCCACGTCCTACCTCAATCAGAACATTAAGAATATAGGTCCAGTCCAGTGCTTGTCCTTATCTCCCGTGGCTCTGCCAGCAAGCTAATCCGCTCATTCATTCCCTTTTCATTCCCGAGTGCCCTGACACAAATACTCAACTGATTCCTGTCAGACGCCATAACCTGCGTGACTCCAAGCATTGTTCTCAAAATTGATCCTGGCTTGATCTTCGTAAGCATGCTCATTGAATCACTTGCAAACTGCATTAGGTGAGCCTGAAATGCATAATAGGGTCTAGAGACGAAGAGAAAGTGACAGGGTTCCAGTCAAGGGACAGTGTCTATAGCACCGAATTGTTATGTTGTCTGGTGTATCTGCATGTACCTCCTTCCTTTGCATCGACATCATCATCATGTCATCATCATTCTTGTTGTCTTTTTCTCCTATTAATTGGTAATGGGGTGGTCTCAGTGGCGAAGAAGTTTACCTAACGTTCTTAACGTCCAGGGTGTGTTTCACAGACACTTCATTCAGTCCACAAGTGCATTTTTTAATGGAGATTTCTGGGGATCGTCGCTAAAGCTACAGAGTTTGTGTTTGTGCAACGCTTTTGACAAACAGCTAGCCATTTGGTGAAGAGACATTGAATTATTTACAAGATAACCCAGTACGATCAAGTCTATCCTGAAGAGACATTGAATTATTTACAAGGTAACCCAGTACGATAAAGTCTATCCTCTTGACTCTCACATTTTTATTGTTCTTGTTCCTTGCCTCTCAGGCAGATTCATTCCGGATTCGAAGGAAACTCTGAATTAGTCGACTCTTATGACATGCTTTTGGGTAGGCAGTGGGTCTATTCTTGTTTTCCCTATAAAAGGGTCCTGGAACCCATACAGGGGAAGTCAAAAATCAAATGAGAGGCTCATCTGACTTCTAACAGCACATAGTAGGATGATGATGATTGTTTCAATAGTTCCTATAATTTCTTTAATGATCTCTTTTATTTTAGAGACATTTATTTAGTCCTTCCTCTTGAGTCCAGGGTGGCGCATAAGGCAGACGTCACAGCTCTTCGTGTCTTGTGGTTAGTTACCACCTGTTTAAGGTCTTGAATGTTCATTAAGCCAATGGTTGAGCCAGATGGAGAAGGTCTTGGTTAAGCCTTCCCTGATGATGGTTCTACTCACGGTCTCTCTTAGAGACAGTGACGACAATAAAGAGAAACAGAAAACCAAAATAACCACACGCACATACCAGAAACTGTCAGCAGTACTTGAATTATCCAGTTCTAAGTTCTTGGTGATGTGGAGGTCAATGGTGATGGACCCATCGGTATCATGAGCTGATTCAAAGTTGGTCACCACACGAGCGGGAATTCCCAAGGCGCGACAGACTGAGAAAAAAAAAATATAAAACCAGACATAGAATTCTTTCATTCTTTATATCTCCATTCGGTCTGGTCTTCCCCCTTCGGAATGTT